GCTGCTCCTGCTGTAGTTCAGTTCACTGGATGGAGTATATGGAGAAATGACGTTTCACGGGTGGTGTGCTGCATCCTGAGAGCAGAACGGAAGCTGCAGTATTGCAGGCCATGGTGGAGCTCTCTCCTCTGCTGTGACCACAACTAGCTGACTGAAAAGTTTGCTTATGTCTCTTTGGAGGCCCTTGGAAGTATGTATTTGTGACCGTGTATGTAAAAGAAGTAGCTGTACGCTTACTTAGTGTAGTACTTTAGAAGGCAGTTCAGCACTTCAGTCTGTTACCCTTTGGAACTTTTCTTCCTCTTGAAAGTTTTATTGTTTTAGTCAACAGTAATTGCTGAGTGGTTCCTTTTTGCATCGTTCTGTGCCTTTCTTTTAACACAACTGGTCTGTTTTCAATATTTCCAGGTTGTTCTTTGGCTGTTGATCTTTGCATTTTTGCTCTCTATATATTATTAGGCTGCTTTTTGGCTTCAGTTTTTTTATCTATCTTTAGAATCTAGAGGAATGCTTTGAAGTACTTTCTCTCCATGCTGTCTGTCAATTCCATTTAAGTTTTTCAGTAGTGGGTTAGTTTTAATAACTACTGCAAATATCACCCTAAAACTCTTGAACTGCTTTTGTATAAGCCAAAAGAAAACTAGCCTTGCCTTTAGCCTGAAACAAAGCACAGTGAGCTTCAAACCTAAAGTAAATAACTTTGCAAGTTACAAACAATTAAAAAATGGATGTTTTTATTCTTTTGTAGTGCCACAGTGAGTGATGCTCACTATAGCGGTAGTTTTTAATACCATTTCTGGTTGAGTGTTTTGGCTGAAAGAAAACCAAATGTATGATATTTCTCTTTAAGACCATAATGACAGTGGGCTAACAGCTGTGAGTGCTCTTGGTGGTTAACATATGAGACCTTGGTTTGATTCTTGTCCACTGAACATACTCGGGGTATGTGTTTGCATGGCTTACACGAGGTTTGCAGATATTTTAATATGCTAGTGAGACAAGCTACATGTTTGGTGGGATATTGGTGGTTAGAGTGGTTAAGAACTAGGAACCAGTAGGCATAGAACCAACAAAAACTTGGGCTGGAGAAAAAAAAATCGCTTTTTATTCTAGAATAAAAGTCTATCAGGCAAGTTTTGAGAAGGAATAGAACTGAAACTGCTGCTGTTATGTGTTGGGGTTAATGTTCCTTTTCCAGATGTACAGCACTGACTTGCTGAAGTGGAACCCTGGTATTAATGTGTTCATACTATATTATAAATTATGTGTGTACGTCTAATCTGTATCCTTTGATACAAAGCAGACCCCAAGGCCTGTGATGGAACTGATGGTTATCATCAGCACATAGCACTTTCCACACACAAACTGCTGCACAAATGTATGGCTAAACATTGTGAAGCCTTTGCAGAGTAGGAAAAATCATCCCTTTGGGGGACTTTGGATTGCATTAATGTCTAAGCTAGGCCAGTGGTCACTTAATTGACCACACTGGTCTGTAAAATTAAAGAAACTGTTCCCCAGATCTCCTGTTTTATAGATGTTAGTTACTTTCTTCATTAAACCGTCTTCTTGCAGGCTCCCAGTGTGTTTTGAAAACACTGAAAATGCTCTTGTGAAGAATCTTTTTAACTTCTTAATTTTTAATTATTTAGTCTCCCCTCATTCTTTGAGCAGTTTTCCCCTAAATGATATTTTTGCCACTTACTTGCATCTTGCTTAATCATATGCTGATTCAGAGCAGTCAGGTAGACTGGAGACATGAAGCTTTCTGTACTTCTTTTCCATACCTGGTCACCTACACTTGTGGCACAAAGTTGTTCATGTGTCAGACCAGTGATCTCTTTCAAGAGACATAGAGGAGAGACAATATCTTCTTCACTGGATCAGTCTCACTGCTATTGGCAGGAGTCACATTCCTCTGAGTGGTTAATGTCCCTTGAGAAATTGTTTGCCAGTTCCCTTGAAAAATGCCCCAAGGTTGCTCCAAAGATTGAAATATTCCATCTGCTACTATTGTTCTTTGCAATCATGCTTTTCTACAACTGGTGAGTGGGAAGGTAAGTTACCGTATTTGTCCAGATGTCATCCTCTGCTATCATACATACACAACGCTTGCAAATTCTGCTTTTTCTCTTATTGCCCTATAACCTGTCAGCTGTCATCTGCCATTTGCCCTTACCTTTCAGTTAAGTATTGTATCATCTGTATACATCCTTCCTCAGATTCCTTTATCCTTGCTGATTGTCTTTCCTTATTACAGTTATTTTCAGCTGTGTTACCACCTCTGTATCCAAGCCTTCCTGCTTCTCCCTTTGTCATAGATTTCTTGCACAGACCCTGGCCATCTGTTCCTACCCTTTGTATCCTTATCCTGCGTTAGCTTTTCTTCAATATCTTGCCGCCTTCAGCTATGCCTTTCCTTATTCTCATCTTTTGTTTGTTGTCATGGGGATGCTCACTGTGACTTCCAAATAATACACAACGAACTGTGGTTTCATTTTGTTTTGTAAATTTTTTGGTTGTGAGGACAATTAAAAAACCGCAAAACATCCAAAAAATTAAAATCTGTGAGAGAAGAAAGCTAAATCTTAAATAAGATTGTGTAAACATCATCTTTGCTTTTAGGCAGATGAACCTCATGGCACGACAATCTTGCATGTTATTTAGGTGAGAATCTAAGAAATGTCTTTCTCTCCAGAGTTTGTCATTAGTGTCTCTTTCATGATTAAATTATGTAGAATACAGAGGATCAAGAAAATAATAAGATGCCATACTGTGAAACATGCTTCCAAGCTGGAAACCAGGTTTTATGACTTGCAATGCCCTGAGAGCTCCTTCTGTGCATCCATTTTAGTGAATGCAAAAAAAATTCCTTTAGAACTTCGTAAATATGAAAAAACAGGGAAAACAACACCTTTATGGCCTCTCTTGCAGAGAGCGTCAGCTTCTTCTTTGCACTTGTGGTATAAGGGCCTAGATAAGCTCCTTGTCTTCTCTACCTCCTCTGCCAGTTTTGTACCAGAAAAATTCTTTGTTCAGAGGTGCCAAATGATGTGTGCTCTGGCGTTTGTCTTCCCTGGGCTTTGTGAACTGCAAACTGCACCTGAGTACTTGTCCTCTTCTGAACTGTATAATCCCTCTGTTCAGTATGGCATAATGTGGGGACTAACACACCTAATTTGTTAAGAATTTGGAAAGCCCAGCAGGAGTACTGTTTAGCTATCCACCAAAATTAAGACGTTGGTGTACTTCAAGCCACATACTGAAACCTACACTGTCTCTGTGGTTACTCTCACTGAGAGCAATAACTAAACAACGGGACATATTTTTCCTCAAATTATGTATGTCTTACCATTAGTATATTTTCTATGTAAATTGAAGAAAAACTAAAACTTTCTTTTAGAAAGGAAGCTTTCTTGTCTGTATGTATGCTTACACATGCATGAACACAGAAAGAGTAATTATATTCAAAAATTGGACTATAAAAGGAACCACTAAACCCAGTGAGCTGCAGTTGGGCTGGGTCCTAATCTATCTGGACCACCAGCATGGAGTTTCTTTTCTGGCTTTTCTGTTCTGGCTGATGTCCAAGACTTGGCAATAAGCTCTGCCTGATATTTATTATGAATCTACTTTTAATATATATTTCTGAAAATACGAACCGAACATTAATTTCAATAGAAATTGAGAAGTGACTATAGGTCCAAAACCATTCAGTTTGCTTTGTATGAATGGGGCCTTGGTGTTTCAGCTGCATGATATAAATGATATGGTTAAATTATCAAGGCTAGGGATTGCAAGAAATGTCTAGAAATGCTTTTCCACTCAGTGGGATCCTCAGTAAGAAAGGGAATGTAGAAGTGGAGGCTTCGTGTGAAGGGTTTTGGCGTAGGGCAGAATAAAACCTGGGCTCTGACAGCCATCCTTGTTGTTTTCACAATTAGTCTGATATACTGATGTTCTACCTGACTGGTGCTCGAAGCATCTTGAAACTAAACCAAAAAGTACTTAAAAAGCATGCTGTTGTTTCTCCTTTGTTTTTTCTTTTCTTTTTTTTCCCCTTTTGTATTGATTTCAAATGCAGTAACTGGTTTTCAAACTATATTTTACTAGTTTTTTTTTTTTTTTTCAAATTCTCATTCATCTCATTTAATATTTCAAGAGGCTTTGTCCGATGCTGTGTATATGTCAAGTCATATGTCCTGCTCAGCTAAAAATAGTTTCCAAAGTATCTCTGGAAAACTGCCAACTAAATTGGAAGGTCCTGGTTCAAGATGGGTGGCAGGTTAATGGAGAGAGATCTCTCTTTCCAAATTTATTTGTCCTGGAATAACAGGAAAATGTAAGTATTCACACCAACCCTGTGAGATGTGACTTCTGTGAGATTCCTCTACCTCAGATGTGAAGGAGGAGAACTCTGTGAGGTCTAGGAGTGTGAGGGAACACAGTAAAAGGGGGCCATCGCTTTACAGGCCTTTGAGCTATAGAGGCTTCTGTTCACCAGCATGTAAAAGGGATTGGGGCCATGCCAGTGGCGTATCAGACTTTGGGAATACCAGTGTCAGCTGCTGAGCAGGTGAACCTGTTACAGCTTTTGTCACTGCTTCCATTGAATAGGGAGAGCTGGAAAAGGACCAAAGGGAATCATCTAATCCAAGGCCTCCATATTATGGAGTCCTTTGCATAGCGATGCCAGATCATGGTATGAAATAGGAGTTTGGTCCCATGCTGAACATGCAAGATTATGTGCCACCATAGCAAAAATTTCTTAGACTTTAAGTTGCTTCCTGTAATTCTTCTCTGTGGTTCTAAGCCTTAGATTTATATTTGGGTGCTTTTGTGTTTATTTTCTGCTTATTTTTATTACATAAGTTATATATATCTTAAAAGGGTATATCCCCCTGTTTATTTAAATATATTAATATGTATACACATTTTATAGGTATATTTAATATACGTTACTGAATAAGTTTGATTTTGTTCTTTGTTTCCTTTACCAGTTTGCTGAAAGCAGTCAGAAAAAAGAAGCTTTGCAAAAAAGCATTCAGAAATCAAAAATTGGACGTGAAGATACTGTAAGTTGCTTTGAGGGGGAGGCAATCCTACAAGGAAATAGGGCTACAAGTATGCACTTCTTGTAAATACTAGTGTAGTCCTTCCAGGTACTTTCAGATTTAAAAATATCTTAAAACTTGAACTACCCAGAGGTGTATACGAAAGTCACCAAAGGTTGCTGAGCTGCCAAATCTAGTAACGACAAATTTAGATGTTGGAGTTGTTTTTTTAAAACTTACTTGTAGTATAGATTGCTAAATTACTGTTCTGAGCAGCCATGTAAGCCTGGTGCTCTTTGCACACTGAAGCTGTTGACACTACAAAATAATATTTAGACTTTATGTTTACTATATTTATGAAGCAACGTATTAGTTAGAAATACTTGATACGGTGTTCTGTGTTGCAGATTTGCACTGCAGTGCTCTGTCTGAAGTCCAATAAATCAATGCATAAAAGAGGGACAGCCAGAAGCTTTCAGGAGGAATTGAATTTTGTAGTAAAGTGCCAAATCTTTGAATCCAAACTGTTTTATAGAAACACTCTAGGTTTTTCCTATGTGTGCTTCCTTTATCTAGTAAGTAATAGAGTGAACCTTGCCATCAAACTCTGTTGAAGTCTCACTTTCACAAATTTAATTAAAGCTTGCTTTTTGCCAGTACCTTTAACGGTGATTCTTTATCCTCTCACTCGCAGTGAACTGTAATCAGGGAATCATGGGTGGGTTTCTCACACAGTTGTGCTTGTCATCCTTCCAAATTAACTGTTCCAGATTTGGTCTGCTCCAGCATGTGTCCTGCCCTACAGAAAGCTATTGGTCCTGGAAGTCCTGTTCCGGCTTATGTTTCCAATATTTTGGTTCCTGATTATACATCAGGGAGAAGTCCTGAAAAATATAGATCACAGTGTAGGTCTCTGAGTATCTTACATCCATACCTCAGCATCTGGAAACTTTTGATTCCCATTCATTCTGCATTTTCAGAACATGCTGAATCCACACTGTTGGCAAAAGCACTGGGAATATGGAATATTTGGGGAAAAAAACCCTAACAAAACCTAAAAAAAACCCCACCCCCATGAACACCTCACACTGCTGGGCTGCCATGGAGATTTCCACTGGTAAAAAACCTGATGGTTTACAAACTCGTGATATCTGGCTCTTTTAGGCTACCCAGTGCCCTGGCATGAGTTATTTGAGTATCAGCCAGTTACAGTGTTTGTCTGTAACTACAGACTGAATTAGAAGTATGTGCTGAGTTGGCTGTGGAAGAGCTCATGTTGAGTCAGTGTCTGCAGATTCTTATTGATCGATAGAATCTTTGAGGTTGATGTTGTGTACACTCCCAGCAGACTACCATGTCATAAATATCTGAGCTTATTTTTGAGACAACTGCTCTCAAGTGGTGTGGGCAAATAAGAAAAATAAATTCAGAGGGTGTTCATACACAGCATATCAGTTTGTGGAAGGGTGGATGGTAGGTTTTTCTGTAGTGCTGTCTTTAATTACAAGACTAGAACTCCTAAATACTGTTTAACCTTTAAGCCCAGTAATTAAGAGATCTCTTTGGAGTTTGTCAAATCTCATTGAGTTCAAAGGTTGTAGAAAATTGTTCTTTTGTTTATCCATTTTGGCCTTAATTTTTTTCCTTCCAGTTTGTACTTGATATCATTGAGTGTCACTGAGAATTTTGTGTAATAAAATAAAATGCTCAAGTGGTTCATTGACAGAAAGCAGTGGTGAAAGCAGCTTTTAAATTTATGTATTGTTTTTTTGAAAAATGTTCTGTGTGATAATTACTGTTTTTAACGTTTGTATTTTTTTTTTTGTGTCTCTCAACATACTTTGAATCCTCAGGCAGAACGTGCAGCTCTAATGGAGGAACTTGCTGCCCTTCGGCAGAAAAAAGAGCAGCTAAAGGCAGAAATAGACAAATACAGGGAATGTGATCCAGACGTTGTTGAAGAAATGCGTAAGTTGTGTATTGTTTAAAGTGATCTTTTGCGTGAAAAGGTCTGCACTTCTTTAGCTTAAAAGCTGATATGTAGAGGTTAGTGAAAAACTAGCTGCTTTTCTTTTTAAAGCTGAGCAATAAAAACAGTACACAGACCATTTCTTTTTATGTTCTGTTATATTATATATGAGGGGGTTTGTTGATATTTACTCTGCCAACAACTGAGCAGTTAACAAACAATCCCATAATTCTGATGCTTTAGAATTAATGTCAGGATCATTCTTCTAGAACCATATTAATTCTATAACTTGTGCTGAACCCTAGAATGTGTGTAGGAAGAGTAGTGTCTGGTTCCCACTTACCTTCAGTTCCATGCTGGCAAAACAGGTACTTACTTATCTATTTAGAACATAAGCATTTAATTAGAGATGCTTAATTATCACATACGAAAGCATGGTATCACACTGTTGACTGTACTGTCTCTGACATGCTGGGCTTTGATTGGAGTTTCTAATTCTAATGGAATACAAGGAATGATGAGTGACTTTAATACTTAATACAAAATTGGGCACTGAAATGTACTTAATATTCTGATCCTTAGCATGAAAAATGAAAAGCATGCATGAAATTTTATTGAATTTTCTCTACTGCAACTTTCATGTTTTATTTATTAGGCTCTTACATTGCTACCCAAGCACCACTGCATGTTGCTGTAATGCCAACATGCTGCTACAGAGTGACGAGAAACAGGCACAGTCCTTTTTCTGAACAGATATGTGGCTGAATCTTCCTCTTTCCTTATTCTTCTAACAAAGTCCACAGCTTTGGAAATGTTCTGAGAGGAAGCCAGGAACATAAACAGAGTTGGCAGCATACACCAAATCTGGAAAGATATTATTTATTTTGAGGGGCTGTGACATTTTTTGTCAGCTGTGTTATCTTTCCCTAAGGATGTAATGGTATGCCAGGGAATAAGCAAACTTGAGACCTGAGTTTAGTTACTGTGCTGTAAATCCCTTGCTGCCTGCTCTCCTGAGGACAAGACACATTCCAGCTGATTCCAGCTGTAAAAATGAGCGAGGTTAGGCAGATACTGACAGCAGAGGGATGTGTAATGTCATGTATTTTAACTGCTGAGGTACCCTTACAGTAAGCATTGCACTGAATGGTTTGAGGAGCCTCTTTTTTGAACCAGTCATGGTGAGCACGTTCCTGAATAGCAGGCACAAGGGGGCAAATCACAGCTTGAATGCTAGGGCAACTGCATAAGTTGGCAACGTGGAGACTAATATCCTGGAAAGAGGGAAGGAGACAGAAGTGTAATACCTATTTACTTCACTTATGCTCTTGTCTTTTGTTTGTTTGTTGGGGTTTTTTTGTTTGGTTGCTTGGGATTTTTTTTGTTAAAGTATGTAGAAGGTCCATGTGAACTTCTGTGATGGAGGCATGAGCAATTAAGGGAGTTGGTGAGGTTAGCACTGTTGCAGGGGCAATATGCAGTAGTGTTTCAAAATTAATTTGTCCTTGACCTTTAATTTAAAAATAGTTTCTGCTTCATTATATGTTTTGTCAGTTATTATTGAAGTAGTAGTGCACATTGTTGCTGGCAATGTATGAGTGAATAAATGGTCATGTCAATTTGGGGGAGTTAAGGTCTGTGTCAAAGCTGAATGGAATTTTAGAGGATTTAAGGGAAAGAGGGAAATGGGAAAAAAGGGTTGGGGGTATTTCTCTTCTTTCAGAGTACGGAAAAATGCAAAGGCAGAACAAGCTGCAGGAAGTTATGGTTTTTAGTGTAAGAAGGCAATAAAGAATCTCAGGCAATGAAAGGCATTCAGCTAGACATAAAAGTTATGGCTGCTGCTTTGCAGAAAAACCTTATAATAAAAGTTACTTATTCACAGATTTTAAAGTATTTTTGAACTGCAAGTGAGTGATATGATTTTATACTTCTGTGCAATTTAGATAATTGTGATTATTTTCAGTTAGATCACCTGAGCAGATTTCTAACTCTAAATTACCTTATTTTAAAGTCAGAAATTAGAGATGGCTGTTATGTTATAAAATTGCACTCTTAAAAAGAGTTGGATTGTTCAATAAAATGTGTTTTGTAATGGGCAGTTGTCACGTTCTGCATTTGGGTTTTCCTTCTTTTTCCTTAATGAGTTCAACCTCTGAGGAAATCTTTCTGATGTCTAATATAAAATTTCACTCTATTAATTTCTCATCCCATATCACAGAGCTGCTTTGGTTCTTCTTGTGGTATTTTAGGGCTGTATCAAATTGTCATCTGTTTTCAGTGGCCTTCAAATTTGGGGAATGCTTTCCTGCGTCTTTTTAGTCGCTCATTCCCTCAAAGAAGTATTGCAGAAACAAACCTATTGCACAGTGGTAAGCCTTATTAAAACACATGCACACACACACATATTATTTTCAGGGTCAAAACAAAGTTTGGATGATTCATAGCAAATATCTGAAGACTCAGCTAAAAACAGAACATCTGTCTTGCTTCCTGAATCTTGTGGTGGGAAAGTCAAGTTTGACCATGTAACTAAATATACTATAATGCGTATTCACAAGGGGGCAGATTGGAATACTAAAATACTAACTCTGTTTTTTGCTGACTTCACTGCTTGTTCTCTTCATATCAGTTACAAATGTTTTGCTGTATGGTTTGGCTTAGTTTCCATGTCTTTTGTGTTAGAAGTGCATTGAAGTATAAACTCTTAACGCGTACCCAAGTTTACAGCATTTGAACATAGACTTTTAAGTATTTTTATATAACAAATAACTAGAGTAAATAGCAAAAGAAACAACATTTAGGGCCAGACCACTAGAGGAAGCTGCATAATAGTCTGGTTTTGTGGATATATTTGGATAATTCCATTTTACAGGTAGGGTATTGTGAAAATAGAATAGCAAAATATGAGGGTTTTCTTTTCTAATGACCTCTGCAATTCAGTGATTGAAGTTTGTCTTTGCCACTTGGAAACAATCTTTAAGACATCTTGTGTGAGTTAGGATTGAGTAATAAATTATTTCTCAACATTAAAGGCAGTAAAACTGACAACAGTCACTGGAAGTAAAAAAAAAAAAGGTGGCATTTTATACTTTTCTATTAAACTTGTAATCCTGCTGCAGATGGTTCAGGATGGAACCCTTGTTTCTCAGCTTTGAGGCATGTTTATGTAGGGTGGAAGATATTCTCATGAGAAAGCAGCCATTGTAGAGAGATTCTTCCAGTAGAAAAAGCTTATGTGACATAGCATGCATGTATGCAGTTGGATATGTGTGATGCTGCTGGATTCTCTAAAGATTATGGTAGAGGATAAAGGCATGGTTCACAATGTTCATGATTTCTCCAGATTTTTATGAAGTCGACAGAAAAAGCTGCATGTAACATCAAGATTAACCTGCTGCGTAAGTTTAATTCTTTCTGCCTGCCAGAGAGAGATGTTAGGGAGCTAATAGCATTTTTCTCATAATTGATTTTATAGAAAAATTTGTCTTGACAACATAACTGTATAAATGATGGTGACTTTACTCTGAGTTGGTCAGCTTGTAACTGGAAACAGCTAAACATTTTCAGTGTTCACTGTAAAATAAACATTTTTAGAATTTCCAACTTCTTGTTCTTTCACTGTAAATAGAGGAGTGTTGATTTAAGTTTTATTAAAAGATTGTTGGGTCTTAGCTATTTTTTTTCCCGATAGCCGTACTTCGGTTACTGTGTGCCTCTGCATAGTTACATACTGATTGGAGTAAATGACTTCTGTGTGGTATGATTGCTAATAATTTTGGGGCTTGTCTTAGATGTTGCCTGTTAGAATTCCTCTTTAATTTAGCGTGTTTTTAGAGTGTCCAGTTGCTGATAATTTTTATCTAGGCTTTTACCTTTAAAACAATGATCTCAACATGTCTAGACAAGCCGTATTCTCAAAAATTAGCAAACTACCAGATACAACACATGTAGCAATTTTGATGTCAACCTTTTTACTCTGGCTCTCTTTGTTTATTTTTATCCTGTAGCAAGAGAGGCAAGTGATTGAAATGGATGTGATTTCAAACCACAGATATCCTTTTGACTCTCTGAATGTGTGATCTCAGAGGCATCACTACCAGTCCATTTCAGTGTTAGATTATCTTCTAAAACTAATGGGTATGTGAAAGTAAATTCTGGGATAACATCCAGACTTTACTAAATACCATGGAAATGTTATGGTATATGTAGTATGTACTTGAAAGTGTCTTTTTTCATTGTAGATGCTTCAAAATTTCTAATTCTGATGTTTCTAAACACTGAAAATTTCAACTTGACAAACTGTTGTGAAGAATTATATCAGGATATACAGACAGTATGAGAAAATAGTTCTGAATTTTTCAGCTTCTTCATTCATCTTAATATCTGAAGGCTGAATGCTGAAAAGTTGATTTACCTGCAGTTTGGGAGTTATTTTTCTGGGGGTTTTTTTTTGGGGGGAGAGGGATTTTATTTTTTTTTTTTGTTGATACACCCCCCTATTCTCTTCTGTTATGCTCAAATAAATTAGAAACTTTGTTACATTTGCAGATGTACTTCATGTTACACAAACTTAGTACCAAGTGCTGGATTCTTTTGGGAGTTTCTTACTAACACTTGGAATAGTCCCTGTTCCCAGAAAGGAAACACTAGTGAAGAAATTAAATGAAGATTAGACTATCCTGGCTAGTGGAGAGGCTTTAAAATGAGTTGCATCAATTTTACTCAAAATTCGTCAGAACGCTGATAATTTACAAAAGGATTTAATGGATTTTATTTTATATTTTGTGGCAAAGATGATTGTTCAGAAAAAGTATCAGAAAGTTTACTTTAAAAAAAAGCCTTGTCAGCAGTATCAGTTATTGAACTATTAAGTATCTGTTTTTAAAAATGTAATGATTCACTTGGAAAAGTGAATGTCTACAAATAATTATAAGCCTGGTCTAGGTGCCACCCAGATCAATAGCGTACAGATGAAGCTTATAGACAAAATGTTTTT